GAGGTTAGTGGAAAAATATCGCTTTACTGAATATATTTCGCATTTGCCAATAAGATGAAACAAATTCACAAAAAGGGTAAGATTATAATTCAGGTGATGGAGACGAACATTTACTTTACGTTAACTATTCTATTCCAATATGTACACTAAGCGATGTCACCCCCCCTCCCCAATATCTAGTTGTATATTAAATAAACCTCAAAATGAAATTGTTTCTTTGTAATATGTACACTGTGTCTAAATGTAACGTAACGAAATAAAGAACGCAAGCGCGATAAAGCAGCTGGGAAAATTATTGAAAACATTAGTCCTTAATTATGACCCTTGATCTGAATATACGTCTCTAGTTACCCCCTCTATATCTAAAAATTCATCTTGCAGTAATAATATCGACTCGACCACCTTATCAACTTTTGAAGGTTTTACTTCTTTGGCTAAATTTTTCAAAAATTCTTGCATTATCTCGCAAACTTTTTCACGATAAGCGTCTTTCTTCACTTCATATTGATTTCGCACTATTCCTTTCAATCTTTCCAACTCTTCTTGTTCATTTCTTTCTATCTTTCCTCTTTCCATTTTTTCGTTTCCTCGTTTCTTCTCCTCTTGTTCTTTCTCTTTCACGCTCCTTTCTCTACGTTTTTCGATGGCATCGGGGCTTGCATAGTAATAGATCAATGAAGAAAAGTAATCTTTTCGTCTTCTTTGCTTTGCCGTAAACCAATACAATTCAATCTCAACTATGACCTGTACGGTGCATCATCAAAGACCGGTTAGAATGTCATTAATTTGCTCAAATCGTCTGAATCAAACTAATCTGTAAGAACTTTGAAAAATGTCTTATCGCTTTACCTCTGCTCTTTGTTTAAGCCAGGCGTGCCTACCAACGGTTCTAGAGTCGTCGACAACATTGCTCATCAATGCAACCAAGACTGTCCACATATAAAAACTGATCACCGAAAATAAGACCGTAAATATTGCAATGGTCGAATCTCCGAAGGCGTCACCGAGTGAACCGAGATTATTTGTCTATTTAAAAACATTCGTAATGATTAATAAACATTGCACAAAATGTCTTGATAATAAAAGTCTTGCTCACCACAAAAAAGTAAGTGGAAACTAATCCTCGTTGAAAGGTGGAGTATTCTTGTGCAGTCGCATTATTATCATTTAACGCATTCGTAACTTCCGTATTACATAATAACAACCAGAAAGTGTACGCGTACGCGAACACCATTATCGCCATCGCCAGCACGAAACGGTCTACATTAGACATTATTTCAATAATAATGAAAATCGCCGTTCCAAGTTTCTCAAAGATTCGCAATTTCAAAATCTATCGGAGAGGGAAGGTAAAATAATGACGTTAATAATTGTCTAATCATAAAAGCATACGTTGTATATCGAAAGTAAAAACTTACAAAATTTAAATATACAAAGAACACAGATGCGCCAATGTATGCAGGTTGAAAAGGTTCATGCCCAACGAGCAAATTAATTGCATACGCAATTGGCATTATTAAACTAACTACGTCTACCAAGTTATAAATATTACGGATATAATAATATGGTTTATGTATCAATTGTCTCATTTCCGTACTCAAAAACACAGAACCTGCCCCCAATACTATAACAATAAACACTTTCATTGCAATGTTCTTATATTGTTCATCTAGTTGTATCCTACCCGAGTCTAGCGTTACCATGCTCATGAATGAGAACAGGTAAAACAAATATGCAAAAATTAAACAGTAAGCATATCGACTACCAAACATCCTCCATTTAAAATTAATAATAGCTTCCATGCTACGTTCACCAAATAAATCAATAGGACCATGGAACACTGCATCGGCGAAACGGGAACAACACCCTTGCCTTTTATAGACGAGGTCATAAAAAGCAAACTCCGGATGTTCGGTAAAACCTGGGAGCGGAACCACACACATATAGCGTGGATGGGTACCGACCTTTTTATCAACAAGAAAATGAGATTGTCAGCACCCCGCAGATAAAAGCACACACAAAAAACAACAATATGTTTGCTCGTCGTATGATCCTCACCTTGTTTGCCTCATCGATTTCGTCTGCTTTCCTTAGAGCGCTCATCTCGTGGACTTCATCAGTTTCACGGATAAAAGCGTATAAATCTTCTCGGTTACTCCATACAATTTTTTCACTTATCGGTAGATCGCTTATAGCTTTCATCAATTCCAACGCCGAGTCTGGGTATTTTGTTATCAGTTGTTTGAACACGGGAACGACCGTCAGTGTCCAAAATTCTGGCTTTCCCTTGGCCTTTTCTTCGGTTCTGCGGCAGTAGTACTTTAACAACAGACGAACGACTTTTGCCTTTCCTTTCGAGATCGCACATGAGAGAGCCGACTCTTTGTTTTCGTAAAACAGCGGAATATAAACGTCCTTTTGTAATAGCGCTTCTAACATTGAATCTGCAAATGCGCAATTCAGATCAATCAGCAAATACACCATGGACCTATCGTCTACGGTCGCATTAAAGATTCGAGCGTTGGTGCTGTGGATGGTGCTGTACACAATCTCTTCACATTGCCTTAATAGCGTGGAAAAAAGCAATCCGTGGCTCGAGCCGATTTGACGTTCGACATTGTCTTTGCGTTCCAGAAAATTACGGGCATACAATGCGTGTAAGGTTGTTTTGAATTTGGTTGGACGCAGCGACAATTCCAGCTCTTCACTAAATTTTTCAAACTTATATCGAAATTTGAGAATATTCTTATCTTTGTCTAGTAAAGGCTCGTCAATACTGTAATTTACTGCAGGCATTGGTTTACACCAAATGTACTCCAAGCGCGGTTCGGTTGACGTAAAGTTCCACACATGTATTGTTTGTCTGCCAAAAAGAAGTGCTCGTTTGTTGTCATCGTCTAGTAGAAATATCGTTGTAGTTCGCTGTTGCGGAAGGTACCACGGTTCTACCATAAACTCAACAATCTCCCGCAATTTGTTCTGATTTTCGCCAGTAATCTCCAACTCATCAGTTTCATAAAGCGTGGTGCCATCGTATTTGCACAATTTTGTCGTCCCTTCCGACCGCTCTGTGCCTTTGCCGATTGAAAGTGTTGGGACCGTTTCGTCTAAATACTTGATCTTCGGAACGTTTTCATCACAGTTTGCGTAAACGGCTTCTCCTGTAGATTTGAAGATGGGCATCTTCCCAAAGCCACTGTACTCATCGATAAGATCGTAGGTATAGATGTTCCACTTCGTTCCGCCGTCGCCGTTGACAATCATTACATCTTTGTTCCCAATCCAGACCAATTGTCTGACTGACTTGCTACGATCACCTAAATAATCTTTGGGGGCCATCGAAGAGGAGAACAAGATCCCATATTTACATAGAAAAATGGCAAGCCTTTCGGTCGGAGTCCACGTCGCAAGCATCTCCCCATCAGGAGAGAGCGCAAAAATGGTTTGCCTTGCATCTACGTCTACAAAATGGCTGCTTTGACATAAGGTCAACAGCTTGCATTCTGGTATCGACCAAAATGATAGAACGTCCCACTAGAAATGAATGTTTTATTGGAAGCAATAGAAAATAAATATTACGTAATTCGTGGGTGTAACTGTGACACAAAACACACCAACAATAACTTGCTTACCTTTTCGATACTCACAAAAAGCTCACCAAATAGTGAACTCTTTACAGATTCAACTTGCGTCCATGGGTGAGACGCTGTTAGTAGATCATTAACGTATATGTCAATATTCATTTTCCGAATCATCTGCCAATTGCTTGTCGAGTAGACATAGAGATGGTGCTTGTCAGCGACTACACTGCACGAAAGAAAGTTGGCACTGTCAGTCGAAAACCTAATGGCTCCTTTCAGGTCTTTGAATTGTGGACTACTGTTATCGGTCGACCCATGACAATTGTTATCGACATCTATTACACAATCTCCCGTTATAATGTTGTTGTTCTCCGTATTAACCATAAAAGTATAAAATTCGGAAATTCCGGAATTCGGTTTTTTAAGTGTAAATGGCTTGGGTATTGTACATTTTTTATTTTTATTTTTTTGAGGACACTGGATACTTTCTTGCGGAAGCTGGATGATACTTAGAGCGACAAACTTGCCTGTTTGTGAAACGCAATTCATGCAACATAGGTTTATTAGTTAATAATATCAAGTTTTTTGTTTATAAACAAGTATCATTACAAGAATTATTCTTGTTTACCTCCATTCGACAAGGCAAAGTCAACGTTTGTCATTTTTTGCTTGGCAGCGGAAGACGGATTAAAACTTTCTCTTTCTTCGAAATATTCTCTTGACTTTAACACGGTTTCATCGTTGCTTTGCCATATGCTATTCGTTAATTTGTCTGCTTCATATACTGTGATTAATCCGTCTGATGCCGAGTACGTAGCCAAGTGCTTCCCATCAGGGGAAAATGTACAAGCATCTATGTTTGTAGGTTTTTCGTACATATTATCTACACAGCCGTATTGCTGGAAGACTATTATTGGGCTGTGTGTGTGATTGAATGTGATTAAATTGGAGGGAAGTTGCTGTATTTATTAACGGCAGACATAGTCATGTGTATGTTTATTATGTTATTCGATAATAACGACGACGCAGTTGAAATATCAGTACTAATTTTCGAGTAGAAATTTATCCGTTATAATAAATAACCTAACTTTGTAGCTTAGCTAACATCTGATAAACAATTTCACCAGTTGTTATCGTGTTTCACAGCAATAATCAGGAGTATTTGCAAAGGTGACAGAATAACCTTCTACCCAGAATTACTCTCATTGTTATTTTTCTTTTAGAAAGGGAACTTTTTCCTAATTAATCGCTTGTTTGTCGTTGTATTACAAAATATTTAATATAGATCAAGATACGCAGTTGATAATCAACTGATATGATTTCTATTACGTAAATTTTATTGACCCTGCGACGACGCAACTCTGCATTAAATTATAATTCATTTGAAGATCTTTTCCGAGGTTGCTGTACAACAACAACCGGAACTTGGCAGCCGTCAGCCTTACAGAATTCTTAACCGGGAAACTGTCACACAATCGGATATAAACAAACAAAATGATAATGATAATCTGATTATCTTGATTCAATAACAAACCGGTTACTCCGTTTTTCTGTTCCGGAATTTTTCCTTAATAAGAATTTTGTATGCCCAAATTATGTAACGGTGGCTAAGCTGGTTCTTTGTTTTAACAATTTTGTTATCTATTTCCGCACGCGGACTCTTATCATCTTATCTATGTGGCACGCATGGACAGTGAATGTGTCATACATGGTTTTCTTATCGCTTGTACTGCAAATATCCGTACACTATTCTTTCCGCTATAGCATTCTCTGTTAGTGTTAACACATACATCAAACTCGAGAAGCCCGACGACAGAATTTTTGAAACAATTCAAGCACAAAAAAAGACGATTTTTCCTAAATGATAGCATGACGCTGATGTATGTTCCAGCAAGTAAGGAAAAGATGGAGAACTGCCGTTAACTAATAAAAAACGAAATGAGAAAAACGAGTTGTAAAAGATAAGGCGCATGGAATTTCCAGAAGGAAAAGTGAATTAGTGGCTATTCTGTCTGACCACGGGTACGATTTTACCGAGAAAAGCGTATTATCGTGGGTATTTGTAATCTGATAGATATATGTGTGGGTAAATGTGTAGATAATAAACCAACTTAGCATATCAATAATAATTTTGTTAGGAAAGTGGTATGAGGTTCGTACAACAACCAAGGTTACATTTATCAATTATTCTCATGCATACTATAATTAGATTGTTTTGATTATCAATCAAATCGATAACATTAATTTAATTAAAATAGTAATGTACAAGCCCTGACAAATTTATACTCAGTATAATGACCACATGTCTCTACGTTTTGACGATTATGTCTATTTTGATTTTGAGTGGTGGAAAGCGCACGACGAATTTAATTGGGCGATTTATAATCTAATGTATAATCAAACGCAAAGTTTTAAGGAGAATTTTCTTGACAATTTGCTTCTATTTTTATTTCGGCATCAATGCCAAGAAATTTTGTACATCCCATCACTTTCAAATGATGCTGCGTAGATTTAATGTAACGATAAAAACTGTTTCTTCCAATCAAGGTCTTTTCGAAACTCAATAACAATTACCATAATTGATGACGGAAATGCAGTAAATGATTACTTCCCATTTAATGACTGCGCTTTATGACATGCCATATATTAACCGATTATGGAATATTACCTCATAAAACAGGAATGTTAAATGTACTTTTTGTATATATTACTATCGTATTTAATATGAAATTTATGTCTATTCGGAACTAACATATTAATGTCGATTAAAACCTTGAGTAAAATCTGATATGTGAATTGTTTCGTAAGCATGTTATAAGACTGCGTACTATTTTTATTCCCCGTACGATTGATAGTCTGACAAACTTATTCTATTACTTATTTGATGCAACTTTCTTAATAATATGTATGCAAAAGAATAACTGTATAGAAATAAAAATAAAATTAACACTTGCCATGAGACACTCTTGTATGACAATTGGATTAGAGTAATGGAGTACAGTATATTAGCAAAACTATAATAGTGTTATGTATTATCAGTCATTATTGCAGTAAAAAAAAGGCTTACTATGCTGCGTAAATAATATTGTTGAAAACGTAGATAGTTCTGTGGGTGGGTTATGTAATTATCCTTTACTTGTAAAACATAACTACGTAAGTAATAAGTATGGCGAAAAATCTTATATCGTTAATACCTTCATTGAAAGCAGTCCCAACAAATAGAAGTTAACATAGAACAAATAAAAAACTTGACCTTTCATGCGGGATCGGAACGTGTCAGGGGAACACGACCTACAAAAGTTTTGTTAGTAAGTGATGAGACAGAGACACAAAAGAGAAAGACCCACTGAACTTACCTGACAAGGAGTTTCGCTGCCTTTAGACCGTTATAGTTACGGCTGCCGTCCACACGGGCTTCAATCCAGAGCTCTCACTTGTGGTTATGGAGCCGCAGCGTACTTTTTTCACTTGTCAATAACTTTCACGATTGTCGATCATATTGGACAATTTGCCGCTCTGATTGGCGGATTAAAATACGTGATCTAAACCAGAAATTTGCTATGTCCGCTTATTCCATCACACACGGTTTATTAAAAGGTGAGAAGAATAAAAGTTGTGTTGCGAGAAAGGGGCTTGATGACTTTGAAAATATGGTTTTTTTTGCAAATAATAACACTTGAAGTCTTGGAGTGAAAGGAATAATATGTGGAATGGAGGAACACGAAATTTTGTACAAATTTGCCGTGTACTAAATAAAATTTTATTATGGCTTCAAATTGTGGGGAATTTCTACAACATGTGAGCCAAGATAACTCTGAAAGTATTATGTTATATGATTTATAACAAACGCGGAAAAAACGTACATTAGATAATTCTAGAGACTTACGGAAATTCTCTAAATAGCTTAGTGATACGGCATTATTATCTAAAACTTTACCGCTGCTTAAAATTTAAGAAAAATCAGATGTTAAAGTTACTTTAAAACTTTGTTAAAGTCATTGTTTCTACATCTTCAATGTCTACCTCAATTGCTTATCATAATACTGGCACTGTGTTTGTCCGTAATTAGAGTATCTATTTACAATGGATAAAAGTTTCAAACTGACATAGCCTATAATTGAAGCAGAACATGTTGTGCACTGTGAATTTAATTTGTCAGTTAATAAAGTTTTGCCAGCTCAAGATATTGAGTTTGTTACAATTTGAGATTTATTTATTATGGGGCGGAGCAAAAAGTTTGATACACACATTGCTCATAGTAAAACTTTACAAAAAATTAGCTAAAATAAAACTAAAATTACTGGCTTATTGCCTTGTCATCGGGATTTATTCTGATATAATTTTTAGCAGTTTATTACATGTAAACATCTTCTTTATAAAAGTTTTACAATTTATCATCATCAGAGCAAGATCTACATAGTCATTCATATTTCAATACTCCTGATGTGGAAGCCAGGTTGAGCTGTGAGTGTGATGAAGAT